AAAAAAAAACCTTGCACCTCCAAAGACTTCAGTTGGAAGTGAATATTGGCCAGGCTGTGGCTCGTGTCTGTAATCCCAGCACTTTGGGAGGTTGAGGCAGGAGGATCACTTGAGTCCAGGAATTCTAGACCAGCCTGGGCAATACAGCAAGACCCCACCTCTACAAAAAATAAAAATAAAAAATAAATTAGCCAAGCCTGGTGATTCCCACCTGCAGTCCCAGCTACTTGGGAGGCTGAGGCAGGGGGATTGCTTGAGCCCAGGAGTTCAAGGATGCAGTGAGCTATGATTGTACCACTGTACTCCAGCCTGAGTGACACAGTGAAACTCCATTTCTAAAAAAGAAAAAAAGGAAGAAGAAAGTGAATATCTTTTCAATACCACGAATGTGTACCATGGTGCCGGTAATAGTCCTCAATGTTGAAAACTTATGTGTACTACACTGTAATGTCAAAGTTTGAAAATCCATATGAAATGTTAATAATACAATTTAATAACATATCTTTGGATAAAATTTCCAGGTTTTTAATTTATCTGAGAAGTTCACTCTGGGATGGTGATATCTGGCTTTAGCTCAATATTGATTAACACCTGTTCAATCGCATTCAGCCAAAATTTGTTTTTGGCACACTTCTAAATATACAACTAAAATCTGTCCAAAATTTAACTCTTAACCTAATCTCATTTCTAATCCTAATCCCATACCCTTACCCAGTTTTACATTTCTCTATATCATCTTCTACTAATATACTGTCTGTACTGTTTATTATCTACCTCCTCATCTCTCTCCACCACTAGAATGTAAGATTTATGAGGCCAGAAATTTTTTTACGTTTTGTTCACAACTATTAATATATTCCTGGTGCCTAGAATAGTGACTGGTCCATAAACACTCAATTTAATTTAATTTAACAATGTGGTCCTGGGAATATTTATGCCAAAATATCAACAGTGATCATGAAATGACAGTCTTACCTAGAATGATAGCAGCAAGACTGTTTTCATCATTCAGAATAAACTAGATTATACTGTGGTAAAATAGCCACAAAATTACAGTGGTTTAGATAAAAAGTGTTTATTTCTTGTTCATGGTAAGTCTACAAGTCTGCATGACTTTCCAGGCAGCTGTCTTCTATGTGTTTGCCCAGCATTCCATGCTGCTTTGATTTTATAGTACCTCGAAATCAACATAAGCTTCCATAATTACAACTGTAAGGGAAGAGAGAACATTGAGAATTGTGCCCCAGCTCTTAAATACTTTTACCAAGAAGTCATATACCACCTACATTTCACTGCACAAAGTAAGGCACATGGCATGCCTGACTTCAAGAGGTTGGGAATAATTTTCTCACATACCTATAAGGAAAAGAGGACCAGAAAGGGTGAGCAACACTTATGTCTACCAAACCACTAAGGATATCGGAAAGCTAAGAGTCAACTTAGCTGAGTAAGTGATTGACTGCATGTTGGTACCAAAAATGTTTGGTGATGTATTATTATTGAAATTAGGGAAGCCATGAAGTACGGCAAGTCCTTTAATAACATTGTTTCATTGAAACATTGATGAGAAAAAAAAAATCAATTCCTGGCTGAGGTCACTGTGTGGAGTTTGTATGTTCTCCCCATGGATTTTCTTTGTGTACTCCAGTCTCCTTCGACATCCCAAAGATATGAATGTTAGGTGAACTGGAGGGTCTAAACTGTCCCGGTGTGAGTGGGTGTGGGTGTGTGATGGGATGGCATCCTGTCCAGGGTAGGTTTTCACCTTGCACCCTGAGCTGCCAGGATAGGCTGTGGCCACCAGAGACCCTGAACTAGAGTAAGTGGAGAAATTATGTTCTTACTGGTGTTATTAATCTTTCTTAAGTGTACGTATAGTTCACATTTATTTCAATGTTAAATATTAGAAGTGTTTTAATCTTTATTTAGAAGTTTGGTGATGTTTTTGCGACCAAAAATATGCCATAGGAACTTAATGCTAATTTATTTCAATTTGCCTATAAATAAAATTGATTTTGTTATATGTCATTTTGCTTAAAGTCATAGTTTCTAAGAACCTATGTATGACATTAAGTGAGGACTTACTGTAAAACTGGTGTTGAGTTTATTTTTGGAAAAAAACAGTATTGAGTATGGTGTTAGAAACGCTCAGAAACATCCACATAGTAGGATCCTTCAGGCACAGAATAATTGAATTCTCTAAGACAACATGTTTTTTAAAAGGAAAACAGAGGGATAAGATCAGATCTTAGAGAATGCATATAGGAAGCCAGAGGAATGGCCAGGGAGATCAGAAGAGAACCAAAATGGTGCATAATTGTGAAAGACCAAGGCGGGAAAGTGTTTTACAGGAGTTAACTATATTAAATATATTAACTTATGCAAAAGAAAAGAGAACTTATTTGTTAATTAGGAAGATATAAGTTATATCCAAAAATATGTTTTTAGTAGTTTGATGGGACAGAAGCCCAATCATAGCATGGATAAAAGAGTGAACATCAACAATAGAGCTTTAGGGTTTGTGAATCACTAGTTTAAAAAAGTGGGTCATGAAAGTAAAGAATCAACAGAAACAGTACTAATTTGGCTTGCAGTTAAGGAAGAATTGTGGACTTATCCTGCTCTGCCCTACTATCCTTACCCCCCGTGGAGCCTGGAGATAGGAGGATACATGCCATGAATGTTTACAGAACAGTTGACACCAACTTCAAAATCTGTTATCTCTTACTTACCAGAAATTGCACTTGAGCTTTACTTCTCTCATTTCATCATCTTAGCAACCCTGCAAATTAGGTATTTACATTTGCTTTACAGATGGGGTTGTTGGGGTTCAGAAAATGATATCACAAAATAAAGACCTCAGAAGCAAAGTTTCTTTTTGACCTTCTCCTGTCTCCCTGTCTCTCACTCCTCATTCTCTCCTTAAGCAAGCCATAGATTCTAGAATTCCTTTTTCTCAAGGTAGATTATAGAAACTAGAACCCCCTTTTCCCAACACCAGCCATACAACCTAAAACATTTACTGTAACCTTCTCGCTTTTTGTGTAAGAGCTAGCCATAAAGAAATTCTCTGACCCACCTTGTTTGATAGTAGGTCATAATATCTTCATTCTGGAAAGAGTCCTGCCCTATACCAGGGAGGAAGGAATACTGCACAGGGAGGCCAGGAAGAATTGGAATAGACAGGCCTTGCCGAGTTTCCCCATGCAATCTATTCTCATTAGGCCTTACTCTTTTTGTCCAATAACAGCTTTACCTGGCTGTCCATTCTTCATTGAACCTAAGTATAAAATGGGTAGTATTCCCTTTTTGTTTGTGTCTTCATTCAGAAGGCTTTCATGTCACATAAAACTTTGATTTAATAAATTTTTTATGCTTTTCTCTTGTTAACCTTTCTTTTGTTATAGGATTGTTGGCCATGACTCCCATGATGGGGAGGAAACGTATTATTCCCTTTGTGCTCCATAGGGTAAAGACAGTAAACTGTATGAGATGTATATGAGTTAGAATTAGGGTTGTATGGATTATGTTATTTATTTATTTATTTGTTTTTTTGAGACAGAGTCTTGCTCTGCTGCCTGGGCTAGAGTGCAGTGGCGTCAGGCTAGCTCACAGCAACCTCAAACTCCTGGGCTCAAGCGATCTTCCTGCCTCAGCCTCCCGCGTAGCTGGGACCACAGGCATGCGCCACCACGCGCCGCTAATTTTTTCTATATACTTTTAGTTGTCCAGTTAATTTCTTTCTATTTTTAGTAGAGACGGGGTCTTGCTCTTGCTCAGGCTGGTCTGGAACTCCTGGGCTCAAATGATCCTCCTGCCTCGGTCTCCCAGAGTGCTAGGATTACAGGCGTGAGCCACCACGCCCGGCCAGGTTTATGGGAATTATTAAAGGACAGAGAATAACTTAAAACCTGGATCTATCTTAGTCCCAAACGTTATTTTTCCAAAAATGCACTGGGATTCTCAGTGCCTTCTTTCTTTTTACTAGGATTTGAAAGTATTTATTTAAGTAGAAAGTGAGGGGACACACAAGTGCCTAAATATTGTGCATGTACTTTTTTTCCCTATAAGAATATACTTGTCATTTTTTCTCCAAAGAATATTAAAAATTTCAGATATTACATACCTCTCTTTTTAAAAATAAGGTATTACAAAACAGCCAGTGGATCACAGTCTTCATCTTGCAGAAACCAAATAGCTAGCAATCTACGTATCTAAAAATCCTGAAACAAACATACATCAAGTTGTTAACACTGGTTATCTTTGAGTGTTGAGTGTGAGATCTCATTTTTTTCATCTTGTTCCTTTTCATTGTTTTTCACATTTTCTACAATGAACATATATTTCTTTTGTAATCATAACCTCCCTACAACAAAAATACAATTCCGTTTCGCATATTATGTAAGAGTAATGAACATAATAGAGATTAAACCTTCACTATCATCTAAACTATTGAGAAAATTTAGCAAACGAGTTTCCCTCTTGTCCTTAACTTATAATAATTGCCCATTATATTGTTTCTGTAATTGTGCAGCCTGAGTTTGCCAGAATCCCAGAGGATCCCTATCCCAGCTGCAAGTAAACTCCCCCAAAAGAGAAATAAAACCCATGAACAAGACCTGAGATCTCTGAATCTCAGTTGGGGATATTAGAGACAGACAAGGAGCGGCACCCTCCGCTGGCCACACATTTTGTACAGGTATAAAGATAGGATTGCCGGAGGTCTATCCCAGATCCCTCAGCTTATCTCTGGACGCTCGGGTTGCCTAGTTACGAGAACTCTCTTCCCCCGAGCTCCGCCTCTTTCTTCTAGATCACTCCCCTTCCCTCTTCCCAGCTCTCGGGCAGGGGCGGGGAGCCAGGCCCCTTCAGCCACTCTGAGGCCCCCGCCGCAGGCCCTCAATCGATGGTTGGAGAAGAGGAATGAGGGCGGTGCTTGGAGGAGGGCCTTCCGCGCCTTGGAGTAACGTCAGCACGTCGGCGCGGGGGTTTTCTCTGGTCGGGTCCCGCTAACTCTGCCCAGTTTATCTGCGCTTCTGTCCCCGCGGTCCCTTGGCGGGGACGGCAGTCGTTGTCCGCTCGCGGACCCACGCGGTTAGCAAGGCGTGGTGTTCGGACTGGCCGCCTTGCCCTCCCTCCTGGTTTTTCCTCGGGGCCTATCCGCCTTAGGGGCGCCTCCGAGAGGCGGAGGCCCCCGGGACTCGGCCCGAGGAAGCTAGGGGCCCATCCCCGCTCTGGGATCTGATGGGAGGTGGCGGGAGGAGCGACCTGGCATGTTCAGTCTGATGGCCAATTGTTGCAGCTGGTTCAAGCGGTGGCGGGAGCCTGTCAGGTAGGCTGGAGCTAGGTGTCCCGGCGCCGTCCTAGGGGATGGGGATAGCTGCACCCAGGGGCTGGGCGGGGCGCCTCCTCATCTCTCTGCGCCTGAAGAGTCTGTCCCAGGCCGCAGGGGATGCTTTCCTTTCCAGTTTTACTTGTCCCAGCTGGGAGAGATACAAGGGTGTAGCCTTTTTGTCTGGTTTCCTTTACGTTCTGATCAACAATGCTTATCGTTATATTTTAAATAGATTTGAGTTTCTTAAAAAGTTGTGGATTGTGTGTGTGTGTGGAATTGGAAACCATCCCTTGCGTATTTTTCCTCTGAGGCTTTTGTAATGGAAATCTTTTTAAAGAGAGAGGGACATGGGGATTATGGTTTTCATAATATCCACACATCCCATTCCAAATCACACCCCCACACGCCCCCACACAGTTTTGTTTGAGGACTTGGGCTTGAAATCTGACTCCACTACTTAATAATTATATGACTCAACCATTTTTGGCCCCACCTTCCTCTTTTATTAAATGAGGGCGATAATATCTCTGCCTTAAAAGTGTTGTATCCAATGAGAGTAAGTGATGAGTAGTTTTTTAACTGTAACGTAGCTTCAATTTTCATTATGACTGTAGTAAAATCTTTTATTTGGAAAGGTCCACTTTTTAACTATTTTGAAGTGCTACACATACAAGTATTATATTCAGCGCCTGTTACTTGATATTCATTTATTCAACAAATATTGTTAAGAAAACATGATGTGCCAGGCACTGTGTAAGGGAGTTAGTGAAAATGAAGCTTTTGAAACTGAGAGGCCCAACCCATAAAGAGACTTTTAGTTTGGTACTCTTTATGAATAGTGTTGACTATACATAGTTCTAGTCTGGAATTAGGTCAAGGGTAAAAGATAGCAAAAAAAATTTTTTTAATTGTTAACATTTCAAATACAATATTTGCCATAAAAATGAACTGTCCTTGAAAGATGAATCTGAAAAACTATACTTACACATTATAAGGAAAAATACATTTTTATGTTTGGAAAAGAAATTTGCTTTAAATGAAATTTGAAATTCTTTCCTTATTATTAACTCTTAGCTAGATTTGAGTGTGTGTTTTTTGTTTTATTTTTATTATTATTTTTGGTTTGGTTTTTTTTGAGACAGAATCTTGCTCTGTCTCCTGGGTAGAGTGCAGTGGTGTCATCATAGCTCACTGCAACGTCAAACTCCTGGGCTCAAGTGATCCTCCTGTCTCAGCCTCCAGAGTAGCTGGGAGTGCCACAATGCCTGGTTAATTTCTCCTATTTTTAGTAGAGAGGGGCCCTCGCTCTTGCTGAGGCTGGTCTTGAACCCCTGGCTTTACGGGATCCTTCTACACTGGCCTCCCAGAGTGCTAGGATTATGGGTGTAAGCCACTGCGCCGGGCTGAATGTTTTAAGTATAATTGGTACAATCCACTCTAAGAATGTTTTTTGATGTATGGACTCTGCTTATTTGTTTTAATTTTTGATAATATTCTGGTCTTACTGCAGATTCTCTGCTAAGACTTGAGTTTCATTCATATTGCATGTCCCCTTGTGGTTTTTTTCTGTCTGCTTTTAAGAAATGTATTTGATTTTCATGTAGACATTATAGCATGTGTTCTTTTAACTAAAAACAATGAAAAAAACTTGTAATCTGAAGGAGTTTTCAATTTAATTCGTCTTTCTTAGTCCTTGCTTTTCTTAGCAGCTTTTGTATGATCTGGGATGATTTATTTAAAGGGAAAGACAGAGTTCAGAGAAAGGTAATGTATTGATTTCCAAGTAGACCAGATAATTGAATTTTATCAATGAAGCAATATTATAATTTAGCCCTGTAACTCAGAGTATATATTTTTCTTTAATATGCAGCATCTAGATTTGTACCATCCAGTAGGGTAGCAGCTAGCTACATGTGGCTGTTGAGCTTTTGAAATGAGGCTAGTCCGAATTGAGATGCTCTAAGCATGTAATATATAGTGGACTTTGAAGATTTATTATGCAAAAAAGTCAATATCTTATCAGTCTTTTTTAAGTTTGATTACATGTTGAAGTGATAACTTTTGCATATATTGGTTTAAATAAAATATATTAAAATTAACTTTATCTGTTTTTTGGTTTTACTTTTAAAAATGTGATTTCTATAAAAACTAAACTTATACAGGGCTCTCATTATATTTTTATTGGACCTTGCTGATCTAGATCATGCTCTAATATGAAGGACATAGGCAAACATTTCTCAATGTTGGTTAGAATTAACTGTCAAAGGATTTGAAAACAAGTTGGAGTACACCTATCTTTTAAGTACCCTTGTTCAATGCCTGATTTGTATAGTGGCTGAATAAATATTTACTAAATATTGTATGTAATTTGATAATCCCCTAGCAATAATCATCCTTATGTAAATAATATTAGCAAGTAGTTCCGTTTATTTTCCTGGAATAAATGAGAGGTGAGCAAGCTGCTTTTAAAAACAAAATTTTGTGCTTTTTAGATATTATGTATTTTTTAAGAGAAATTATCTAGTTGAGTATTTTATGTGTATTTATGTTTTCTGTAGAATTTTTAAAGTTTTAGACTATGATACCACTTACTGAGATTCCTTTTTATCCTTTTATTTTATGAAGATGTCTTTGCAATTGTGAGACATGAGTGTGTAAAAGAGAAGATGATTATTGGTATACTGTGTTCTGAGATTATTTTGTTGATTTATCTAATATATTCTGTACACTTTCATTTACTCACCTCTCCTCACTTAGTCGTTCTTCCATTGAGCATATTATGCTAGAGATTGGGATCAGGGATTAAATCTGTGCAATAGGGACAAAGTGGGAGTCAGAGGCCAGATATTAAGGCACCAGTCTAAGTCAGGAGTCAGGACCAGGATGCCAGGTAGTTCAGGAGCCCAGCCTATGTTCAGACCATACCTGCTATTGTTAACAGCAAGTCAGAACCTGAACCTAGGCTTTACAGCTATGTAAATTAATCTTTTTTTTTTTTTTAATACTGTCCTTTTTTTAGAAAAATTTCAGAATATTACAGGGGTACAGATGTTTTGGTTACATAAATTGCTTTTGTACAGTTTGAATCAAGGTTATAAGTGTGCCCATCACCCAAATAGTGTGCATTGTACCAATTAGGTGTGTATTTACCCATGCCCTCCTCCCGCCTCCCACCTGTTTGATTTCCTTTCAGTTTTACTTCCATGTGTGTACATAAGTGTTGATCAATTAGGTTCAATTTATTTATTTATATTTTATTTTGTTTTTTTTATTATTTTTTATTTCAGCATATTATGGAGATACAAATGTTTAGGTTATATATACTGCCTGAGTCAGAGCTTCAAGCATGTCCATCCCCCAGATGGTGCACACCACACCCATTAGGTGTGAATATACCCATCCCTTTCTCCCCCACCACCTGCCCCACACCCGATCAGTGTTACTACTATATGTGCACATAAGTGCACTTGGTGCATACCAATTTGGTGCTGAGTACATGTGGTCCTTGTTTTTCCATTCTTGGGATACTTCACTTAGTAGAATGGACTCCAGCTCTATCCAGGATAATATAAGAAGTGCTATATCACCATTGTTTTTTGTGGCTGAGTAGAACTCCATGGTATACATATACCACATGTTATTACTCCACTCATGGATTGATGGGCACTTGGGTTGTTTCCACATCTTTGCAATTGTGACTTGTGCTGCTATAAACATTCTAGTACAGATGTCTTTTTTATAGAATGTCTTGTTTTCCTTTGGGTAGATGCCGAGTAATGGGATTGCTGGATCAAATGGTAGTTCTACTTGTAGCTCTTTACAGTATCTCCATATTACCTTCCACAGAGGTTGTACTAGTTTGCAGTCTCACCAGCAGTGAATGAGTGTTCCTATCTCTCCGCGTCCACACCAACATTTATTGTTTTGGGACTTTTTGATAAAGGCCATTCACATGAATTAAGTGATATCTCATTGTGGTTTTGATTTGCATTTCCCTGATTATTAGAGATGTTGAGCCTTTTTTCATCTGTTTGTTGGCCATTAGTCTGTCTTCTTTTGAACGCTATTAAAAAGTGGGCAAAGGACATGAACAGGAACTTTTCAAATGGTCCAATTTAATAGTACATGTGATGTTTGTTTTTCCATTCTTGCAATACGTCACTTAGAGGAATGGTCTCCAGTTACACCCAGGTTGTTTCAAAAAGTATTAGTTCACCTATTTTTTTTTAGTAGTTGAGTGGTACTCCATGGTATACATATAGCACATTTTATTAATCCACTCATGTATCGATGAGCACTTGGAATGATTCCACATCTTTACGATTGTGAATTGTGCTGCAATAAACATTCAAGTACAAGTGTCTTTTTGATAAAATGACTTTTTTTCCTTTGGGTAAATACCCAATAGTGGGATTGCTGGATCAAATGGTAGGTCTGCTGTTAGTTCTTTGAGATATCTGCATACTACTTTCCATAGAGGTTGTTCTAGTTTGCAGTCCCACCAACAATGTGTAAGTGTTCCTTTCTCTCCACATCCACACTGGCATCTGTTGTTTTGGGACTTTTTGATAAAGGCCATTCTCCCTGGGGTTAGGTGATATCTTATTGTGCTTTTGCTTTGTATTTCCCTGATGATTAGAGACATTGAGCATTCTTTTAGAAGTTTTGGCGATTAGTCTATCTTCTTTTGAACAGTTTCTGTGCATGTCTTTTCCCCACTTTTTAATGGGGTTGTTTGATGTTTTCTTGCTGATTCCCTTGAGTTCTTTGTAGATTCTGATTATCAGCCCATTATCGAATGTATCGCATGCAAATATTTTCTCCCATTCTGTGGGTTGTCTGTTTTGCTCTATTCATTGTTCCCTCGGCTGTGCAGAAACTTTTTAATTTAATCGAGTCCATTTCTTTATTGTTGCTGTGATTGCTTTTGGGGTCCTCTTCCTAAATTCTTTGCCTAGGCTGATATCTAGAAGAATTTTTCCAATCTCTTGTAGAAT